CGGCAGCTGGTAGGTGTTTTTCATCTAAATAATCCAAACTGCAGGCAGCAGGATAATAAAAGCCAACATATTCTGCCGGCAGATTTCTGCATTTTAAGTTAATTTAGGCATCAATAAACTGTTTAAGAGGAGTGATCATAGTGCTCTGATCATCAGCACTGTGTCTCTCTCCCAGCCAGCTCCCAGATCAGCTTCTCTGATTGGTTGACGCGGCGCGTCGAGCAGCAAAAATTTTATTTTTCCATCTCGAGCAGCAGCGCGTTTGCGGCGAGTCACGCGCGTCAGATGCTTAAACGCGCCCGACGCGCTGCTTCAGCTGCTCAGACACGCTGCGCCTGCTGCTCAAAACGCGCCGCGGGACCTTTTGCTGCGCCTTGACGCGCGTCAACCATTGACTTTGCATGTAAACTCGCTGCTTCTGTCGCGCCAGCTGCGTCCAGTGTGAACGCAGCATAACTGGTACAAGCAGCAAAAAGGAAGCAGCAGACGCGATTTTGCTGCTTTTGCTGCGTCCGGTGTGAACGTAGCATAATGGCAGTCAGGGTGCCGCCATCTAGCCCGTATAGGTCTGTGCGTCCCTCCATGGATATGCCTCCCCAGACTATCACTGACCCACCACCAAACTGGTCATGCTGAACGATATTACAGGCAGCATAACGTTCTCCACGGCTTCTCCAGAGCCTTACACGTTTGTCACATGTGCTCAGGGTGAACCTGCTCTCATCTGTGGGCGCCAGTGGCGGACTTGCGAATTGCAAATGCCAATCGAGCTCCACGGAGCTGGGCAGTGAGCACAGGGCCCACTAAAGGACGTCGGGCCCTCAGGCCACCCTTGTGAAGTTTGTTTCTGATGGTTTGGTCATTCTGTAGGGCTCCTCCTGCTCCTCCTTGCACAAAGGAGCAGATACCGGTCCTGCTGATGGGTTGTAGACCTTCTACGGCCCTGTCCAGCTCTTCTGGAGTAACTGCCTGTCTCCTGGAATCTCCTCCATGCTCTTGAGATTCTGCTGGGAGACAGCAAACCTTCTGGCAATGGTATCCTGGATGAGTTGGACTGCCTGTGCAACCCCTGTAGTGTCTAGGCAGCGCCTCATGCTAACAGTAGTGACAGTGACCCTAGCCAAATGAAAAAGAGTCAGAAAAGATGAGGAGGAGAAAAAATGTCAGTGGATGTCAGGCAACGCTGTTTCTACTTCACCATTTCACATCTTGGACTATAAAGGAAGACGAAAGCCCATTGTCACTACCCGATCTGTACCAGAATCACGATCCGTACCATCGGCTGCTTTGCGCTTGTGCAAGCAGATATTCAACCAGGTCGCCATAAATAGTCTAATTATGGTACTAAAAGTACTTATTTCTATCCTTAAATAATAATCATTAAAAGAATGCTAATACAAATCTTTAATATGTTTTATGACTTTTCTAAGACAATTTGATGCTTTTTACATTTTCAGCAAAATATGATTACCGTATTTTCACGACCATAAGGCGCACCGTACTAAAAGGCGCAGTCTCAGTTATGTGCGGCATTTCTGTATTTAACACACACATAAGGCGCACCGGACTATAGGGCGCGTTTTTTATATACAGGTACATGTCCTCTACTACCTTTAAATAGCTCTACTGCGTATTTAAAAATACAGCGGGGGGAAAACTGAGTATGACTGTGCTTTATTCATGTATTTATTACAAAGTATTAACCAAACCTGGGAGCTGGCCGTGAGACAGACACATCGCAGATGACACAGCGCTGTGATCACTCCTAAATTAACTTAAAATCTTGAAACCTGCCGACGGAATATGTTTGCTTTTATTACCGGTATCCTGGTGCCTGCAGTTTAAATTATTTAGATGAAAAACACCTGCCAGCCACCGCGGTGAACCCGGAGGCTACCCGGCCTAGAGGCTGCTGTTGAAGGGATTTCAACTGTCAGCGCACCGCTGGTATGTCGGGGTCTGAGCGCCTCCGACAGGAATAGATAATCTGGATGAACTGACTGCAATATGAAGTTTTCAGATGGACTTTCTCACTTAAAACCATATTAAAACTACTTTATTCCCACTGATCACAGCAAATATAGCTGCAAGATTTAGATTATTTAGATGAAAAAACACCTGCCAGCCACCGCGGTGAAACCAGAGGAGACCCGCCCAGAGGCTGCTGTTGAATTAAGTTTTCAGGTAGAAAAATAGAGCGGGAGCAAAACTGAGTATGATTGTGCTTTATTCATGTATTTATTACAAAGTATTAATCAAACCCATCAAAGTCATCATCCTCTGTTTCTGAATTAAATGCCAATTTCCCCTTCTTGGCTGTCAGTGTCACTTTCCGTGCCGGGCGGCTCCTCAGAAATGATGCCTGCTTTTGCGAAAGCTCGAACAACAGTGCCAGCAGACACTTTAGTCCAAGCATCTACAATCCATCCGCAAACGGTGGCGTAACTTGCCCGGCGCTGCCTTCCACTTATCCTGAAACTGTGGTCTCCGTCTGTCATCCAATGCTCCCACGCGGCTCGCAGCCTTACTTTGAACGGCCGCTTCAAACCGATGTCGAGCGGTTGAAGTTCCTTTGTCAGACCTCCCGGGATAACGGCGAGCGCGGCGTTCATTTGATTCACCTTTTTTTTCACATCGGCTGTGAGATGGGCACGCAGTCACAGATTAACAGCGATGGTGATGCGTGGAAAAAACCACCTGGTCTCCTCACATACACCTGCCTCAGCCGCGCTTTTATCATCTCCTCATCCATCCAGCCCTTTCATTTGCCTTAATATTACATGTCATCAGAGTGCTGTGTCTGTCTCGCTGTCAGCTCCCAGATCAGCTTCTTCTGATTGGTTGATGCGGCGCGTCTAGCAGCAAAACTTCACTTTTTCCATCTCGAGCAGCAGCAGCGCGTTGGCAGATGCTTAAACGCTCCCGACGCGCAGCGGGACCTTTTGCTGCACCTATACGCGCGTCAACCATTGACTTTGCATGTAAACACGCTGCTTCTGCTGCACCTGCTGGGTCCTGTTCACACCGATGCCCAGCGGTTGAATAACAGCGAGCTCAACTTAATTTGTTTCACCATGTTTTTCACATCAGCGATGGTGATGAGTGGAAAAAAAACACCTGGTCTCCTTACATTCAGCCACTCTTTCATCATCTCCTCAATGAGGTGGTCTCAAAAGTCGCAGTTACAACACACATAAGGCGCACCGCATCAAAGGGCGCACCGTACATTTTGAGGAAAAAAAAAAGACGTTTAAGTGCGCCTTATAGTCGTGAAAATACGGTAACAATGTTTTCCTTTTTTTCTTTTTTTTTTTTCTTTCTTTAGATTACACACTATGTACCATAAGATAAGATGAGAGGAAAAATATAAAACTCAAAAAGATTAGATTTATGTTTATTTGTTTTTCTCCATGATTGGGCTAACTTGCAGGCATCAGGGCGTTCCTTCACACCATTGCACAGTGCTTGTTAGAATGAGCTTAACTAAAGCATTACATTTAAAAAGTTAAATGTAATTTCTTAGTCTGACCTACATGATAGACTTGATCAGATTGTAGAGAGCTTGGCTTCATCATCTGAAGTCACAGATTCCTTCATCAGCCGCATGGGGCGGTGCATGACAGGGGTCGACAGGTGTTATGTTGAATATGGAAAGCAAAGTTGTTCAAAAACATGTAACCTAAGACACGTAGACAGCGTGTGAATAACCCATGTTTTTCACACTGTTTGAGCAAAAAACATTGGCAAGTCAGATAGAACACAGTCTGCTCAGGGTTTCTACAGGTTGGTAAAAGGTAGTAAATTGAATGAAATGAAATGAAAGCGATAACACCTCGGAACTTGGTTTAATTACTCTTAACTCAAAACTTGGTAAAACTATTTAAAAATGACTAAATACAGGAGTAAAGATTAAGAGTTTGTTCCAGTTCAGATCGTTAAAGGACAGAGATATTGCTTGGAGTCGAGACACCTGTTGGTGTCAACAAGGTCAATCTCCTGCTTCTTCTACCTCATGAGTCTATCTGTTGCATCAGGTGGATGCTGAGCTGTTCCTGTCAGAAACTGGCACGTCATCCATGCCCTGACCTCTGTGCCTCTTGCTTCTACGCCTCAGGATTACAGATAGCTCTTCTTTATCAGTCTGGCTCCAGGATGTATCATTTTCCTGTGCCTGTTGGAAAAATAAAAAAAAACTGTCCTTATTAGATGGCCTCTGTAAACACAATGTGATCCACCATGTGAAGGAAGGTCGTCCATCCCATCTAATGTGGCTAACAAGGAATACCCATGACTAATAAAGAATAAACGTAACAGTAGTAAATTTATCAAATATTCAATATTTCTAACTTTCCCATCGATGTTGACTTTTTGTTTCAAGTATATTTAATCTGTATTAAAACTATAACCATATACAGCAGGACCCGAGCTGATGGTGATAAACTTGATTGGTTCCACATCAATGTTCTCTCACTGATATCAAGTTCTGTTAAATCCCGTTTAAAGAGGTCTGTGTAATGCTGCTAATACTGTATGTGGATGGAGAAGGTCTGGATGTCTGTGATGGATTGTCGGATGAAACAATAGCCCCCATAAAGATAACTTTCTGAATATATAAAGGACCTCTATGCTTGGTCTAAGAATCTTTTCCCTATAAATATTTAATTCTCTTTAAATTAATGCAGCTCATGCTTTAATTAGACCCTCCTCAAAAGGATGCGCTATGTTTTTTTTTTCACACTTGATGTGTCAAACAGAACCAGTGAATGATTTCATTTTTATTGTTTGCACAAAACTATGAACTATTCTGAATAAAACAGGAAATAAAGCAACATTATTGGTATTTTGTAAACCATCTTTACAAGGTGAGCTGACTTATAGAGCATTTAGATGCAACAGCAGTGAATAAAGCTAATTTTACATATCGGGCAATGTTAAAGGCATGTATGGAAAATAAAATTACTCAACTTTTAATTTAATGATTCATACTTTTTGATTTTCAGATCCTGTCAAGATGATCTTAAAAGCCAGGGATCAGGATGTCCTCTTATCTTGTTCTTTTAGAGGAGACCTTAGAGATAAGAATGTGACATGGAACAAAGATGGCAAAGACATTTATGTTTTTGGAAACAAAAAGGTTGAGCCTTCATTAGTAGATGAGCAGTTCAGAGATCGGATCTCTCATTTCCAAGATGGGCTCCAGTCTGGAAACGCTTCAATAAAAATCACCAATGCAAAGATATCAGACGTTGGAATCTACAGCTGCTTGTTTTTTGACAAAGGCTTTCAAAGAGGATTATGGAAAATTGATCTTACTGCTGGTAAGTGTTTCATAAAAACCTGAAATACTAATAGATTAACTTTCCTTTTGCTTTCATTATTACTAATTTGCATAGATGGATAGTAACTAGTTACATTTATTTAAGTAACATTTTAGGAAACAAATGTAAGAGTAGTTTAATTGCTCCGTACTTTTTAGTTTTACTTCAGTGATATTACTATATTGCTACACTTACTTGAGTAGCTTTTTAGCTACTTTACTCACTGCGAGTAACCGATTCACTGAATGAAGAACAAACATGTTTTAAACATCTACAGCTAATGCTTTATTAAAAACTCTTCTTTGTTTAATGTTATTTTCTATCTGCTAAGCTGCTCTGTCATTCTGAGAGCACATAAATACACAGTAAATAGGGTTCTGGATATTGTTACTGGATGTACTTTACCCTGTTCTAATATATAGATACACATTACCTTCTGTAAGTATTGGTTCAATGGAGGTCAACATTTTCATTGAGTAAAAATATGTTGAAGTAGAGCTACTTTTACAGAGAGACTTTTGCAGATTTTAAGTTTTATTCTATTCTTGATTCTTACTGATCTTTTAATTTGTCTCTAAAATATCAAACTGAGTGACTTAACAACAAAATGCCAACTTAATCAAATCTAAGATTGTAAGTCGATTCATTCAATTGAACAAACAGTTCAGTCAGTGTCTGAGATCAGATTGATGGATGGGTTCATTAATCAGATCTCTTCTTTACTGCAGATCTTGATTATTAAAGATTTTAAGTAGAATTTGAAATTCTATCCTTTATTCAACAGGGATTCTATAAATGAGTAGAAAATCAACTTTATTTTAAGGAGAAATTAAGACTATGAAGAAATCTGAAAGCATTTTAAATAAGAATAAAATGTTTTAATGTAACTAAGGTCAGTTTGAGACATAAACAGAAGTTTGCTTAAAAAACCAAAAATATTGATCAAATTTTATCCATGAACACAATATGAGATTCAGAAAATCCAGTACTGAAATCAGTACTGGATTACTAAATAATTTCCCACAGGAAATTAATCATATACCGGTTTTTTTTTCTTGTTTTTTTTTTCAGTTACTTATTTGGGAGTGGCAATTAAAAGAGATCTAATAACACGTAGCTGCTTTAATTTGAACAAAATACCTGAAAAAATAGCCAAAAGATATCACATGCGGATGATGAGGGATCTGTCCTTAAATTATGGAGTGTTGCTCTCTAAAAAGGAAGCTATTTCAATATCTTTTTATGTATCCTTATCTATCAATACACCAAAAAAGTCATAAAGAAATTATTCAAATATTATTGAAATTCATATGGAAAAATAAAGGTCATTATATGTATGTTTCAAGTTTGATATGCAAGCTCTGCGGGGTCAGCAGGATCTAGCAAACGGTTGATCGGATTGAGGGACTCCGATGTTGACCAGCGTCTCTCAGCTGCTCCCTCCTCCCACACGCGCTTGTGCAGTTAGGGACCGTCAACAAATCCTTAAACCAAAAACTCTTGAGAAACAAGAAATCAATAAATTCCTTATCTTATGACCAGCTAAGACGGAACTAATATAAAATCATGCCAATAGATAACATATGTAAGGCACACTTGCTTTTATGCAATTTTAAGCTATTTTCAATTTTTAAGATTTTTTAAAGACAAAAGTTGGGGCTTTTCTTCAATAGTGTCCAGGTCATGTGACCTACAGAATTCAAATTCTTCGTGAAATTGTTTTACTACATTCGTCTGATGAGGCACACTCATTTTTATTCCATTTTAAGCCTTTGTTCATTTTTAAAGCTGTTTTTTTAACGAAAAAATTTGATATTTCTTCAATAGCTTCCAGGTCATGTAACGTCATGGTATTTCCAAGTATGAGAGTTGTGAAATTGAAAATATCAGTTTTATGATATGGAAATGCAATTTTCATCAAACAACTGGCTGTCTGGATAGACTGTGTGTGTTTTCTAAATTTTGGTAAGTCTTAAGTCATTCTCCAAGGGAACGTGTAGGGGGAAAGAGAAGGAACAACAACAGAATGAAAGAAAAAAGGAAATGCAAAATACAACAATCTAGTAAGTAATTCATGGTGGAAAGATATACAGTCATTCAGAGGGACATGAGAAGTATCCTGAAAACTCTCTATATCAGTTGAATATGTTGTAATTCCAGACTATAGAGCGCACCTCACTATAAGCTGCACCCACTATTTAAAAAACAAAAACTGGAGACATATGTAGTTCGGCTCAGTATTTTGACATATTTGGTTGAATTTAGGTGTACAAGAAGACGTATAACTAACGGAACTGCAGAAAATAACGAAAAAACAGCCATAGATTTTAAGATAGACTTGAAATTTTCTAGATTTTGGGACAATATTGTCTGATAAAGAGTACATTTATATTCATGTTTAAGCCAGAATTATTTGACATTCAAATATGACTTCCCTACGACTTTAAAAAGTGAGACTGCATCAGCGCAGGCTCACTGGAATTTTGCAGCGGGTGAAACAGCGAACTAATGGCAGAGGAAGCGCTATTTATGAAGAAATAGCATGTAAAAATGTTTTAATAGGAATGTTTTTATTTAACATTTATGTTTATAGAAAAAAAAGTAATTCAAAAGAAATAAACTTTTAATAAATCTAACATATATTTTTTTCTTTTATTAGAACATCCATTTATTTCATCTCACCAAAGCTGTATGGTTTATGGGTGAGGGTGAAGTTTAAAACTTGAGAAAAAAAACAGGGTGGGCTGGCTCTTCCTAATTATAAGAATTATTTTCTTGCTGCTTAACTCAATCATGTAATTTTTTGTTGCTCACTGTAATATGAATCCAAATGAAACAAATAGAGTTAAATGATTGTAAATGTCAACCACAAACAAGGCTAGGTGAAGAAAACAGTATAACAGTTGTAACACATGAACCCTATCATTGAGCGGACTATTAACATCTGGTGGGAAGTGGTGAGCGGCTGCAGGATCCAAGATGATTGTTAGATTCTGGCATGGTCAGCATGCTGCCCAAAATTTGGAGGCGGTCAATTGGATGCTACATCTGTAAATTGGGTTCATGAGTGAAGTACAGCCATATGCACATTAATAGAGGGGAACGTTTTAAAATCTTTTGAAACAGTATGAGGGGAATTTGGATCAGGCAAATCTGACATATTTATGTATTTCCATTTAGGAAATGTTTATAACTTATAAATTAAAGAGCATTCTACACAACAGGACAGAGTGTGAAAAAAAGCATATAGACAGCTAGCCCCCAAAATTATTTTAAAATTGTATAAATCAATTAAAAATTTTAACCAGATCAAAATTTTCTATATAAAACTAGGAAAACAAGAAACAGATTCAGTTGTCAGCGGATGATTGGCTCTCTGTTCTGTACGTCTCCTGCTACATACTTCAACAAGCTTAAGGTAATGGAGAGAATTTGTTTAGATATTTGATTTCTCCAAACATTAGCAGTAATTATTAACCCCCCCCCCCCCCCCCCCCCCCCCCCACCCCACCCCCCCCAAAAAAAGGTTGGAGACTGTGTTGAATGAAGTGCCAATTATTGTCATTTATTTTGGAATTTTCAAAAATTTTATCTTTTTGAAAAATATTGTATGAAGGCTGGAAAAAATACTAGGCTATAAAATACCTGTTGATCCGAAGTCCTGCATTTGAGCCTGATGCAGGGATGGAGCTATTTAAACAGAAGACCTCCGTTAGTTAAAAATAATGCCTATGGCCAGCACAGAAAGTTATAACAAAGAACTGGCTTAAAAGCCACACATTAGAATCACAACAGTGGACTGATATAATGGAGGAGATGGATTAGATTGAAAACATGACTGCCTGAGATTGAAGGAGGACAAGTTTAGGAAACAATGGTTAAAAATGGACTGCATATAGAACTTTGTTTGATGTATAATTTCTATGTATCATTACATTTTTTGTTAAGTTCCTGGAAATTCCCACAGAATGTGTTATGTTGAATGTGTTTTTAGAAAGTTGCAAAAACATAAAGAGTAAAAAAAGAAAAAGAATACTCCAACCTCAACAGAAAACTTCTCAGACGTGTTTCTCTAAAAGTTTTCTTAATAATTAAAGAAAGAAATCAATCAGAAGTTTAATCAACAGCTAATATGGATTCAATTCATTTAATAGCATTTTTCTCTCTGTTTAATGCTTAAGACTTGCTGTGTCAAACTAACTTTGGAGAATGTGTGAACACTTATAAGGATCTGTGATTTTTTTCAGGTTATGTCGAAATCAGAGAAGACGAGGATGCCATCCTACCATGTCATTATGGAATAGACCTGACACATACGAAATTTGACTGGAAAAAAAACAGGACGGACATATTTTTGTATGACAACACAGGGGTTATCAATTCAACTGATGAACAGTTTAAAGGTCGGGTCTCTTATTTTCCAGATGAGTTACGGTCTGGAAATGCCTCAATAAAGATTAAGGAAGCAAAGCGTTTAGACAGTGGAATTTACACCTGCATGAGGATAAACCAAGGAGGTCAAAAAGAGTCAGAGCTTCACATTGAGCTTGTTGTTGGTGAGTATTTTTATGGAACAGTTATAGAGCAATACATTCAGTTATAGAGCAATAAATTCATAGATTCATTTCAGTTAAAACTTGTTTGTCTACAAATGGATTAAAATGACCTCTGAACTCAAGTCAGTTGGGTTTTACATTAAAGGAACATTCCAGTGTGGATTTCTTTATATGTTTCTTACAAACTCCAGAACAGCTTCTACAAAAAGGCACATTTATTTTTTAGGAATAATCATTTTCTGCTGTGATTTTTCAACAAATGTAAACAGAAATGTAAATTAGAAGTGTTAATATTTCTTCAAGCAGTTAGATCTTTTGTGTTCATGCCTTTATTCTGAAGTGGGTCTTTTGTTTTGAAACAGGATGTTTTAGCTTCGTTCTTCCTGCCTATTTCTTCACAGTCCCTTTACCGTTTAGAGCAGTGCAGCAACCGCTGATGATAAACTGCTCTGTTATGCTGTGTTGTATATTGGCATGCAAAGTTCTTCAGTAAAACTTAAAACTAACATCTGATGACCAGGGTGCTTTCTGACTGAAGCGCTGTAGTGGTTAATTAGGCAGAAATCAGCAACAGAAGATATAATCTTTAACAAGAAGTATAGTGAAGTTCTAGTAAATGATGCCAGACACAATCTAAGCTGTTAAACAACTTATAAGGCATTCATCCCAAGAACTGAAGCACATGGAGCAATCTACATTTAGAAAGGAACCATCAGTAAACCTGCAGTCTGGGAGTAAAGTGATCCTTTAAGAAAATGTGGAGCATTTAGATCCATGATAAATAGGGATAATAAATCATTAAAGGCATCATGTACATACGTGAGGAGAATTTTCACTCTATTCTGGATTTAATAGAGAGACAATAAGGGGAACCTTAAAAAGAGGGATTGTAAGATGACCTTCCTTTTCACCAGAACTGTTTCTGTATTGCTGTGGATAAATTTAGGGCTGTAATTGCATTTTTATTGGGGTTTTAAAAACATTACATCACATACATTAAGCTAAAGATGCAGAAAAAAAACAATATAACGAAACCAAAAAGAGAAAAATAAAACTTCAGTATACATAACAAAGAGAAGCCAGGGGTTTATAATAACAAAAAGGTAAAGTACATCAGGTAGTGTGATGACGGGATTTTATGACTTTCCTGTTTTTACTGTCTTTTAATAAAGAGACTTAATTTTTTAATAACGAATAAATTTTGTGAATTTTGGCTAGTGATCAGATAACTTGGATCAGTGTATGAGAAATTGAAATGATCAGAAGTAGGTTAATTCAAACGTATTAGGATTCTTACTTCTGATCATGGTCAATGTAACTTAATAACACATGTTGCCATCATAATGAAAAGTAAAGGTGAATATTATCTGTCACAAACAAGAAAGGTTACTCGAATAAATGTCTTAAACAAATCTGGACCAGTATGAGTGAGAAGGAAGTGATGAAAATGTGATAACTTGGAGGAAAAAGTTCCAAAATTTTCCGTTCTTTTGTTTAGAAGAGGAAGATGAAGATACAAAACAAGCCTTTCCAATGTTTGTGTCAGTAACCTGGGAAGAAAATGCTGAGTACAGCTACGTGTTGTACTGAGCGGATGGCACTGAATATGATAAGAACATTTTATTAAGAATACTTTCTTGGGGCGGGAATTCCAATATGTTGTATGATGCTATTACTGATCCAGTTTTAAAAGAAGATGATTTTGTTTTTACATAGATTGATTTATTATTCTAACGTTGACTGCATTTTGCGGACTTCCAGGTCACAAAGAAATACAACAGTCCAGCCTTGAAGTAAAAAAAAGAAAGACTAGACTGAGATTAAAAATGTTTTATGCAACAGAGAGACAGAATATTCCTCATTTTGTCAATATCCCACACGTGAAAGTAAAAATCCTAGAAGCCTGTTTTAATATAACATTCATTCTGTATCATGTTACTCCAAGCCTATGGTGTTAACAGCTGTCTAACATTTCCTTTCCCTTCCCCCATAGTTATGGACAGATATGGAAAAAATTGTGGTGAGTAATATTTCTTATTTCTTTATTGACAGTCTTATTAATCCTTCAGTTTAATTTCACACCAATCAAACAAACTCATACATTCATTACAGTTTAATCAGATTAAAAGTTATCTGATTTAAAATGACAATAAATTTTGAGCTGATATGTTTAGTTGTTTCATCATGTTTTTCCATATCTTGGAATTAGTGGCTAATGTGGTTCAACTATAATTTTTACAGTTTTAGCTAAGATCATATAAAACAGTAATAATCATATCATTTTATTATGAAAACACAGCTTTTTGACACTAAACAGAAGTGTACAGCCTTTGCTACATTTCGGGTTTTCTCCTCTAACTGAACCACCTCCAAACCCTGAGAAGGATGTTTCCAAAATAGGTAATGTTGTTGCTGGGAATAAGGTCCATCAGAGATATGACCCTATAGGGAAAATAAGGATGTCATCAACATATAAATGTAGAGAAAAACTATTATTTACCTAATTAATTAATTGTAACAAGCATCAGCAGCTCTAGTTTACTGTTTTCAACGTAAATTTTTTATATAAATGTTTTATTTTTTAATTTCTCTTTAGGATGATATGAAGGAGGTAAAATGAAAGACATCATTTTTGGTTTCAAACAAAGTGGAGCTACTTTATATTTATGGTCACATCCTCCCCATTTAAACAAAGTGAAGGGACTAGACTGTTGAAAGATTGTTTTTAATTGTAAACTAGAATAAAAAAACTTAAGTTTTGCGCTACATCATCGAACAAGATGAGGTTTTCCTTTTCAGGGTGACTTATGACTTTTAAAAGAAAAATAAATTCATCACTGCGACACACACTTGCTGCTTCATAACATAAGTAGATTACTTTAACTTGTAATAAAATAATAGGCATATCACATTGCATAGTCATTATGAAGTCAATGAAGTCTCTAAATCATGTAATTTTATATTATACAAATTTTCTACATTTTATACAAATCCATTACAATAAAATTTAAATAGCTAAATTGATGATGTACGTGTAATATACATGTATTTATTATATTGTTATGGTAATTACATATTGCATATCTGGTAATGCATGCAATATATATATATATATATATATATATACACGTTTTTTTATATATACAAACTTTTATCGCAACGTTACACCCTTGCATACATCAATGAAACATCCGAGGCGGTGAGGAAGTGGGGGCAAGTTTGTCTGACAACGAAGTGACATGAGGGCGAAAAGAGCGGGGATCCAGGTGGAAAAAGGGTCCCATCGTTCTCACACACCTTGCTCTTCTAGCTAGTCCAACTTCACGAGTCATTATCACAGTGGCGGTCATACAAACAAAACAAGCCAGTAAGGTACCAATCAGGAAATACTCATGGTGTAGAGCAGATGTAGATTTGACCAATAAGAGGCCTTCTGTCTGCCGCACTGTCTGCGGTCACCTACAATTTTGGCGAGGTGCAGCAGAGGGGCAAATTTACTTTCACTGTGACACACACAGATGAACTGGTTTCTGAGTATAAATCAGCTTCTAGGTGTCATTAAACAGCGGCACCACATGGAGAGTGGAGAGGTGAGCGCTGATGATCTGAAAATCTGCACTATTTTGGGAAATCGCATCGCAGCAACCAGTCAGGGATGGTTTGGGTTGAGCTGTACGTTAAAGAAGTGCAGCCGAGGCAAAACCATTTTTCAGTTAAAATGGATTATAGAGAAAATAATCATGACAAAGGAAGAAATAAGGGATTCTCTGAAGAGGCTTTTAGGTGGTTTATAAAAAGTTCTAATCTAGCCTAAGATGGACTGTTCGCCGCCCTCCCTTACTTCCACCAGCCAGGTGTAGAAGTATATTAAATATACTACCTTGTTGTTGACAATCTGGAGGGGAGAGTACTGGCATTGCTTTGTGGACTGCATCAGTGGTGTAACGACACAACAATTGGCCCATAAGCAACATTATCTTGGTGGGCCCCATATGAAGTACAACTATGTCCATTATTCCACCTTCGGTTCTTTGAAAGAACGTGTTTTTTTTGGGAAGTGTTTTCGTTTTTTTCCAGTAGCTCTTCTTTGCTTTTTCTTTTCTGGAATCCGCTGAAGTACCTGTTTTTGGTACCCATCATCGCTAACACATTATATGTAACGGTTATTGTTTTAATCTACGCTCTGGATTACCCATAATTCCAAGTCGTAGCGTAAAAAATTAAAATACTCAAATATATTGTTCGTTTAAGATCTTTATTGTGATTTGAAACATATTATATGAGTGTATTTTTTTACCAACCGTCTAATAAACTATACACAGCTATTAACATAGTAATTAAAAGTACCACTGTCTGCTTTGCTATTGGTGACATGTTTAAACGGCTCACCATCATATTGAAATCTGCCATGTGTTACGGTATAAATAAGGTCCGGTCAGTCATCCTGTTGTCAGGCGGGTTTAAGAGGAATTTTTCAAACCATTACATCTGCAAAGAGATTTCCTAGTCCACAATTGCGTAGGGGGCCTACTAGGTGTCAGTGACGGGGCCCCTAAGAGGTCGGGGGCCCCTAAGCAACTACGGTCTCTGCTTACCGATAGTTACGCCATTGGACTGCATCACGTTTACGAGGATAATTTATGACGGATAAGAACCTTTGTTTAATCTGATGTGATGCGTTCATAAAACCCACGGCAGGAGAAAAAATAAGAAAAATGTACAATAATATGAAAATGTTTCAAATGCATGGGGCCCATAGAGAGAACATCCAATCTTTACAGTCTTACTTTTTGAATGAAAAATCTAATCCAGTGATGGAGAAGTACCAAATATTAATTTAAATAAAATCAGGCATAATCCAGCAAGTAAATATCTAAGTATTATGTTATTATTATTGATATTGTTGTGTTATTTTATGGGGATAAAAACAATTTGATTGGCAAATCACCCTATTTACCTTATCAAGGGCAAACACACTTTTTTAAAGAAAATAATTGTTTCTAGATTTTTTTTTCCCAGTGTAAAGTAAAGTGGCCTCACTTCTTTTCTGGAAGAGATTTTAAAAGTGTTTTTGTAGATTGCAGTCGAACAACATTTTTTGTTGTTATTTGAAATTATAAAATAGTTAACAGTAGTCTTCAAAAGTTTTATGTTAGACCTTTCCTCTGCTTTCTTGATAATATCTACAGTAATTAAGCAGCTCAGTTGTTTGCTGCTCTAAATATTTACTACAATTGACTTGAACTTATTCTGTAGAATCACTTAATAATTGTTTGTTCCAAGTTTCTTTTACGGTAATACAAATGGAGTCAAATTTATCTGGAATCACATTTATCTCTCTGTAATATATTCGTTTTATTAAACTTAATTGATTGCTTAAAAAAGAGAGAATATTTATTCTGGGCAAATATTTGTGTGATCATCTGCTGATTTGTTCATCTTTAAAGAAGTCAGAAATCTGTGATTTTGATCCTAAAAGCCCAGACAGAACTCATAATATAACTGGTAATAAAAATGATCAGCATTTCATTAAATAAAATAATTGTTTGATACCCCAGCTAAACATGAAGTTAATATTGGCAGGAGCCTTAATATAAAACCATTTTTTTTTTTTTTACGTTCTCAGGACTAATTTTTTTCCCCTGACTGTAGGGTCACGTTCTTGATGTTAAACTCAGTACATTGGCAGTACATAATCTTTTTTTTTTTTTTTATAGAGGGGAGAGTAATAAGGTACCCTATCTTGTACTGTCCCTCATTGTTTTGTTTTTTGATGAGGTTCAAAGAGGATCACTTTATCCATTTTCTATCCTTCTGAACTCCTGTTATGCGTAAAGTAGCCTATTATATTTTAAAATAAAACGCATTTTTATGCCCATGTCTACCACATCTGCTATATATGCGCTGTGTGATTCCAAACCCAAGTGTTTTCCTTAGACAATTGACAGATTTTATTCAGTATTTCCACCAAAATGGATGTGTTTTACTTTGTAGCTGCATCTCTTCATGACAGACCCATAAAATTGCTGCTGAATTGCTGCATAGTCTGACTAAAATAGACCTGGTCTCAATCGTAGCTACGCAAACCTCTTTGCAGAAAACTGTGTTGGATGCGTTTATTGTTCAGTTTTAAACCTATTTTTAAATGTTTATTTTATTTCACTTCAACAAGCCTTCCTCTATTGAAGGAGGATTTTATTTGGTCGACCAACATGAGGTAGAACATTACTGTGATAGAAGGAAAATGAAACACTTCTTTCATATTGTCAGATCTATGAACTGTGATGTGCATTTGGATACATCTGCATATTGATACATACACCTATGGATCAATATTTTGTAAAATAATGTGTTGCTACAATTAAAGCTTCAGTAATTCTGAGGTCTGTCTGTAGTTTCTGTAGTTTTTTTTATATTCATTATTTATTTCATGTTTACAGTTGCCTGTCAAAAGCCAAATATTAGGACTACTAAGGTGAAAGATGGGGTGCAGGTGAACTGTACAGCTCGTGGTGTTTCTCTAAAATCGAAAATGGAGTTGAAGAACAGGACTGGGGGCACTGTTTATGCTAAAGATCCAATTGGCGATGACATCACTCTTCTTACTCTGGTGACAAAAGAAGACCACTACTATTGTGTGTTGACACAAGAAGACATCTGTGTGAATAAGACAGAATCGATCTTTGTGCCTTCTGGTGAGTTTCCTCTCAGTTTTATATTTTTTTATCTATATGTTGGATTTTGTGCATCTTTTTCCTGGTGCTTCAGAACGGAATCTTTTAAAATCTGCTCTAGCTTCACATTTTATGTTCGGTTAGAACATCACCACTTTAAAACTATTTGTAGGTCAGTCTGTTCAAGGCTGGTGACCCTGTTAACCATGGATGGCGCTGTTATAGAGATTCGTATGTGCATGAAGAAGGGAACATAATCTACATGAACAAATATGGTACTAAAAACAATATTAAAAGTTTCAAATTTTCAACATTGTCATATGACATTGTTTTGTGACAATTAGATGAATTGCTATTCATCACTATTCACCTTTCAAACAGCCTATGGTGACCGAGAGATGGGTGTTTTACGAAGTTATGGGCTGGTGCTCATGGAAAATGATGTCTTCATTCAGGCAAAACAATACAGCATTTGTCCACTTGATGGAGCCAAAATTGACCAAAACTGAAAGTTTTTTAGAACTGCTCTGGGACATTTTTAAAGATTATTATTTAGACTTTATCAGCCTTTACTTTATTTCTCTTAAAGTAGGCAGACATGAAAGGAGATTAAAAAAGACACACAGCAAAGCTCACCAGGTTGGGACTTGAACCTCTAATAGCCATGTTAAGGGTCACATATTTAACCCCTGCACCACTACCACAACCAATAGATGTGGTTTTTCAGTTTAAATCTTTTTCAGTTGAGTTATTTTTGCAGAGATAAGAGTTGTCTTGGTTGGAATATTTTCATTTAACTATTTGTTTTAAATAAAAAAAGTGATTCAAAAGAAATAAACTTTCACTACTGTAGATCGAATATACTTTTTTATTTTCTTCACAACATTTATTTATTTTGTTTCTCTGCAGCAGACAGAGATTTTATTATAAATATCCTTCAACGGATTAACTGCAACAGAAACCTAAACTAATAAATTAACTGTTTTTACCTCCACCAAGAAGGTTATGTTTCAGGAAGGTTTGTGTGTTTCTCTGCCTGTTTACATGATAACTTGAATAGTTAAAAGACAGATTGTAATGATTTTTTTTTTTTTTTTTTTTTTTTTTTTATCAGAGGTGACCCTCACACCAAGGAACAATTTTTTCAATTTTATTGATGATCCAGATCACAATCTGGATACAGGATTTTTTATAAAAGATTTAAGAATTGTGACAAAAGCATACAGAAAGCTACCCCACAAAAATGTTTCTAAATTAATAGAAATTATGACAAAATTTTAACAACAAAAATACTCTCTATAAAAAAACAAAATGGGAAACGCTTAAGTACCTGTTTTTGGTATCCATTGTCACTAATACATTGTACGAAACGGTTATGATTTTAATCTACGCTCTGGATTACCCATAATTTCAAGTTGTAGTTTTTAAAAAATAAAATACTCAAATATATAATTTGTTTAAGATCTTTATTGCGGTTTGAAACATGTTATATGAGTGTATTTTTTAACCACCGTCTAATAAACTATACACAGTTATTAACATAGTAATTCAAAGTACCACTGTCTGCTTTGCTATTGGTGACATGTTTAAACGGCTCACCATCATGTTGAAATCTGCCATGTGTTACGGTATAAATAAGGTCCGGTCAGTCATCCTAGTGTCAGGAGGGTTTAAGAGGAATTTTTCACACCATTACATCTCCAAAGAGATTTCCTAGTCCACATTTGCGTAGGGGGCCTACCAGGGGTCAGTGACGGGGCCCCTAAGTGGTCGGGGGCCCCTAAGCAACTGCAGTCTCTGCTTACCGATAGTTACGCCATTGGACTGCATCACGTTTACGAGGATTATTTATGACTGTTCGCTGAACCTTTGTTGAATCTGATGTGATGCATTCATAAAAACCCACGGTAGGAGAAAAAATAAGAAAAATTTATGATAAGAATATGAAAATGTTCCAAACGCATGGGGCCCATAGAGAGAACATCCAATCTTTTCCAGTTTTACATTTTGAATGAAAAATCTAATGCAGTGATGGTGTGATGGAGAAGTAGCAAATATTCATTTAAATAAAATCAGGCATAATCCAGCAAGTAAATATCTAAGTATTATGTTATTATTATTGTTATGTTTTTTTATGGAGATAAAAACAATTTGATTGGCAAATCACCCTATTTACCTTATCAAGGGCAAACACACTTTTTTAAAGAAAATAATTGTTTCTAGATTTTTTTTTCCCAGTGTAAAGTAAAGTGGCCTCACTTCTTTTCTGGAAGAGATTTTAAAAGTGTTTTTGTAGATTGCAGTCGAACAACATTTTTTGTTGTTATTTGAAATTATAAAATAGTTAACAGTAGTCTTCAAAAGTTTTATGTTAGACCTTTCCTCTGCTTTCTTGATAATATCTACAGTAATTAAGCAGCTCAGTTGTTTGCTGCTCTAAATATTTACTACAATTGACTTGAACTTTTTCTGTAGAATCACTTAATAATAGTTTGTTTGTTCCAAGTTTTATTTACGGTAATACAAATGGAGTCAAATTTATCTGGAATCACATTTATCTCTCTGTAATGTATTAGTTTTATTAAACTTAATTGATTGCTTAAGAAAGAGAGAATATTTATTCTGGGCAAATATTTGTGTGATCATCTGCTGATTTGTTCATCTTTAAAGAAGTCAGAAGTCCCTGATTTTGATCCTAAAAGCCCAGACAGAACTCATAATATAACTGGTAAAAAAAAATGATCAGCATTTCATTAAATAAAATAAATGTTTGATACCCCAGCTAAACATGAAGTTATTATTAGCAGGAGCCTTAATATAAAACAATTTTTTTTTTTTTTTAAGTTCTCAGGACTAATTTTTTCCCTCTGACTCTAGGGTCACATTCTTGATGTTAAACTCAGTACATTGGCAGTACATAATCTTTTTTTTTTTTTTTTATAGAGGGGAGAGTAATAAGGTACCCTATCTTGTACTGTCCCTCATTGTTTTGTTTTTTGATGAGGTTCAAAGAGGATCACTTTATCAATTTTCTATCCTTCTGAACTCCTGTTATGCGTAAAGTAGCCTATTATATTTTAAAATAAAATGCATTTTTATGCTCATGTCTACCCCATCTGCTATATATGCGCTGTGTGATTCCAAACCCAAGTGTTTTCCTTAGACAATTGACAGATTTTATTCAGTATTTCCACCAAAATGGATGTGTTTTACTTTGTAGCTGCATCTCTTCATGACAGACCCATAAAATTGCTGCTGAATTGCTGCATAGTCTGACTAAAATAGACCTGGTCTCAGTCGGAGCTACGCAAACCTCCTTGCAGAAAACCGTGTTGGATGCGTTTATTACTATTCAGTTTTAAACTTTTTAAATGTTTATTTTATTTCACTTCAACAAGCCTTCCTCTATTGAAGGAGGATTTTATTTGGTCGACCAACATGAGGTAGAACATTACTGTGATAGAAGGAAAATAAAGCAATTCTTTCATATTGTCAGATCTATGAACTGTGATGTGCATTTGGATAGATCTGCATATTGATACATACACCTATGGATCAATATTTTGTAAAATAATGTGTTGCTACAATTAAAGCTTCAGTAATTCTGAGGTCTGTCTGTAGTTTCTGTAGTTTTTTTATTTTATGTTCATTATTTATTTCATGTTTACAGTTGCCTGTCGAAAGCCAATTATTTGGACTACTAAGGTGAAAGATGGGGTGCAGGTGACCTGTACAGCCCGTGGTGTTTCTCTAAAATCGAAAATGGAATTGAAGAACAGCGCTGGTGACACTGTTGATGCTGAAGATCCAATTGGTGGTGACATCACTCTTCTTGCTGTTATGACAAAAGAAGACCACTACTATTGTGTGTTGACACAAGAAGACATCTGTGTGAATAAGACAGAATCGTTCTTTGTGCCTTCTGGTGAGTTTCCTCTCAGTTTTATATTTTTTTAATCTATATGTTGGATTTTGTGCATCTTTTTCCAGGTGCTTCAGAACGGGATCTTTTAAAATCTGCTCTAGCTTCACATTTTATGTTAGGTTAGAACATCACCACTTTAAAACTATTTGTAGGTCAGTCTGTTCAAGGCTGGTGCCCCTGTTAACCATGGGTGGCTGCTGTTATAGTGATTTGTATGGCATGAAGAAGGGAACATAATTTACATGAACAAATATGGTACTAAAAACAATATTAAAAGTTTCATATTTTCAACATTGTCATATGACATTGTTTTGTGACTATTAGATTAATTGCTATTCATCACTATTCACCTTTCAAACAGCCTATGGTGACCGGGAGATGGGTGTTTTAAGAAGCTAGGGGCTGGTCCTCATGGAAAATGATGTCTTCATTCACGCAAAACAATACAGCAGAGGTCTTCAACAGGGGGTCCGCGACCCCTAGGGGGTCCGCGGAGGTACTGCATGGGGGTCGCGAAAGTCTTGGTTGATTACTTTTTTTTATATTCCCTCCTGCAATTTTTTGCACTACTGTAATTAAAATGTCTTTAAATACACATTAACATGAATTCAACGCACTGTAGTAAACATATAAATGGAAGCAGAAGATGTCCTTCAGTCATCAATGCACACATTTAGGGACACACAGGAGCTCTTTCAAACCTGGGCACCATTTCATTGACAACACCTGTCCCATCAGCCAGGAATCAGAATCAGAAATAATTTAATAATCCCAGGGAGAAATTACTTTTGTTACATGACTCCATATGTAATAGAGTGACTATAGGACCAGTTTGATATAACACAATTTCATACAATATATATAATTAGGGGGTCCCCGCTCTATCTCGCAATCAGTTTGGGGGACCTTGGCTTTGAAAACGTTGAAGACCCCTGCAATACAGCATTTGTCCACTTGATGGAGCCAAAATGGACCAAAACTGAAAGTTCTTTAGAACTGTTCTAATATGGGATGTTTTTAATGATTATTATTTAGACTTTATCAGCCTTTACTTTATTTCTCTTAAAGTAGGCAGACATGAAAGCCATGTTAAGGG